TTTCTTGAACTCACGTAGGGATAAATTATGTGTCTGCAGCATGCTAATAAAATATGCTCTCCGAGGTGTTTCTTTCAGGCGAATAAAGTTTCTTATTCCACATGAGGCTTTGGTATATTGTGCATTCCGTCTTGTACGTCAAATTTCGGCGATAGTAAAACCAGTGTTCCTCTAAGTATTTTTATGTTTACTACTAGGTAAAAACTCCTCACCATGTATTTGCCAGCCAGTCTTTCGCGCTACCAATGTGTTTTTGCATCCGACGCGGTGAATGTGGCGCCCAATTTCACCACATCGCTCTGCGCATGTTTGAGGTCCAGTCAAAACCTTGTAGCACTTTTTGGCTACTTTTGTCCCCACGAGTAGACGTGTCTCTGACCTTCGTTTTGCTGTTTGAGGGTACAGAATGTTCTAGCAATCTTTACATCTTACTTTGTTAATTTAAAACAGCTGTTGTCAACGGAAAAAATACATTATTTTAATAATGCACACAAACAGACTTCTGATAACAAATCCGCACAACCGATCCCAAAGTAATTATTTAAATCTTACTCAAGGGGGTATATCATTTAACAGTATCGTTCAGAACGTGTCTCGCCTGCATTGACTATAAAAAAAGGCCAATCCAGGAACAAATTCTTAATGACCGCTATCAATCTCCACGTTTCTGAACAGCGAACATTTTTAACTTGCTTTTTCTTAGCAGTAACACATTGGCTGTTATATACTCCCATAGTGAGACATTTACCGATAGGATTATGGGACATGTCTCTGCCATACATCTTACGGGTTTTGTCAGGGCCCTCGAATAAAACTGCACGACGACCGGTGGTACAGGTGGCAAAGACGATAGAAACAGTTAGGACTATATGCGGGCTGTTAGCTGTCGTCTTGCGTTTTAGCCAGTGTGAAGAATGTGAGCGAAAGTGATTATTGTCGCAGTAAAAACACATTTTCAAGGCCGTCCATTAGACACAATTTGGCCAAGGTGCGCAATAGCTAATTGTTGGCAAATAATTATTTCAACAATAAAGGAGCCGCCAGTCACGCTTTTCTCAGCGTTGGTTTTATTACATGGCTATAATGATTTGATCGTCAAGAGCGGAGACATGCCTGTGTACTGACGAGTCATTAACGTGCAGCTGCTTTTCGACCACAAACGTTGTCGGCTTGAGTGCAATAATATAACATCCAGGTATATATGCAAGTATGTACGTGCTGAAGTTGAAAGGCTGCCTGCCTTTCCATACCTGTAGAAAATCGTCAGCACTTGGCCGATAAGTGACATTATATACACACAGGCAGTATATTATATTGCAAAAACTAAAAAACCATACTCCACAAATAATAGATACAGTTTAATCTCACGAACTAACCAAATTTCATAAAGCATCGAACAATCGGCTAGAGCCATTAGAAAACAGAATAACCACTTTTACACGCCGCTATTAAATGGTTGGGTTATATTCGTGGGGTAAATTGTCAAGGCTTTCTTTTCAAATATTGGATCGTCCAAAGCAACAACATAGTATGCGAGTTAAAAAGCACGATTGGTGTAAAGTAATCCAATAACATCTCGTGTGACCCAGCTGCTGCGCTTCTACCTTGCACGGGACAAAAATCGTTTTTATAAAGCTTCGAAACATAGCATAGAGCCATTATAAAATAGCAAAGAAAATGTTTCACACAGTTGTTCCATGCTTGGGTTGTAATCGTAAGGGTCTGTTTTGACGGCGGTCTTTTTAAATTACGGATCTTCCAAAATCAACAGCCTGGCATGCTGGCGAAAAAGCACCACTTTTTTGTAAATTAATCGACTACAGCTCGTTTGGCGAAGCAAACGAAACGGAGATTCATGCTGCTTCGCCTGTATATTGCACGCCAAAAGGACGCACTTTAACACACTTTCGAATATAATCCACCCATTTGAAAATAGAATTCTTCAACAAAACTGACTACGGCAGCTGGCCTTTAAGTACACCATTCGTCATCGATGATGATCCAAATGCCCTTAATGTGCCTTACACGGAATGAATCATCTTTCTTGATTCAAGCAGTGTTAAGTATGATTTCGACAAAAAAGCCTGTAGTTATTCGGAATCCGACAAACAGATGGCCGTGCGTTTAACTGTGACATACACAAAGCGACAGAAATCACAGCCTCAATTTCCATCTACCTATATTTTAAACTGTATTCACCACTTCATCGTTTAAAACATACTCTTCTACAGCTGTCCTTGTCGGCCGTACTAAAAGAATATATCGCATAGTATTAGATCCTATTTATTGAGCGAAAGGTAGGTGTGCCCCTTTGAAATACCTTTTGATTACAATAACGTCATTAAAACAATGTGTCAGGCAAATGTCAAAGAAAACCAGGTAAGTAATTACGCACAACAAGCATTGGTTACTGGTATAAATGTGTGTCTGAATGTCGTCTATTTTAAAAGCTGTACGACAACCAGTACGAAGTACTGAATGTACCAGTAGTATCAAAGCAAACCTATATGCTTCGGTAAGGATATAAGCAAAAGTCAAAAACGGATGCTACTTAACGTTACCTAATGTTACTTGTAACGTAAAACTCTGAGGGGCAGGTGGTACAGAAGAAAAAATTTGGTTCTTTCTGATGCTATGAAGGTACATATCCCGGTACTGGCCAAGGTTCATCTTAAATGTGTTCACGGATGAGGACATGACGATGTCCACAGACAGGGCATTCGCCGCCTTTCCCACTCTGTAGCTGAAGTACAAAATATATTTAAAGAAAGCGAATCGGCGTATAAAATTTTGGCGTTCAAACTGGAAATGCAAACGATTTCTCGTCTTAAATATTGGCCAAAACAACTCATTTGCAACAAATGTGATAGTGCAAAAGTAAAAAATTGCAAATAGTTAATCCAGACTATTTCAATATCTGTGATAAATCAAATCTCTTTTAACCTAAGCTGCGCGTCCATAAAAAATTAATCGCAGACGACGAAGACATGCCATTACGAGTCTACAAGCACGGAACAAAGCCAGTGGCCTACAGGCCAATTGAGAAATTTTGCGACTTGTGCTTATCACCGGAGAGACGCCTACAGTATTTCGATATTTACAGTTGACTTTCAGCACTTGTATTGCATTGCTATCAATCTGACTTTGATGAACCAAATGAAAGCCTACGCCTTGTGTCCGCAGATGAAAAATAAGAAAGTACATTCCTACAGGTTACTTGTAATTATTCTTACTTTCAGAGTCGATGTTTAAGCAGTGTACAGAAAGTGTGCGCTATTTTGAAGGGGACGTCAACTATTTATAACGCAAATGGAAGTAGTGACCATCCAGCCTGAAAATGTTGATGGCATTATGACGTCGAATAGACCGTATCTATAGTATTCAGTGAATTGTAAATATATTTACACTTAAACTTTTCTTACAAACATCAAATATACGGGACGCAGGGATAGAGGGTCGGGGAGGCGGCGCAGGGGTTAGGGGACCACATAGCTCATCCGGAGTAGTGTCCGGGACGGCAGCTTTGAGACGGTCCACGCTCACGACCTCCTCACGAGTTCCGAGTTGGATGCGGAAGTTCTTCGTCCCACGAGAGATAACTCGGAATGGGCGTTTTAGGGTGTTTCCAGGGGCCGGCGGGCTCGATCACATCGAGGGTAGACGTGGGAGCACTTTGTCAAGTCCTTCTCGAGATAAGACGGAGAGGCGGATGACCTGGGAGGAACCGGAGAAAGTGTCCGCGTAAACTGCCGGAGGCGATGCAGGAGGTTGGTAGGATCCTCAACGGCATGTTGTGGGGTTGGCGAGATCATCTCACCGGGGAGTCGGACGGTGGCACCGAACACCAGTTCAGCTGCGAAACAGTCAAGGTCCGGCTTGAGAGCGGAGCGGATGCCCAAGAGGACCAGGGGAAGGTGGTCCTTCCAGTTCTCCGGATCGTCTGTGGCGTGTAGGGAGGCCTTGAGCTGGCGGTGAAACCGCTCGACCATCCCGTTGGCTGCCGGATGATAGGCTGTAGTGTGAATGCAAGTACAGCCTAAAAATTAGAGTAAAGACCGGAAGAGGTTAGACTTAAAGTGGGCACCACGGTCAGTCGTGATTGTGGAGGGTGCACCAAAGATAGCAACCTAACGACTGAAAAAAGGCTTTACCATAGTTGGAGCAGCAATGTCAGGCAGGGGAATTGCTACAGGCCACCGAGTGAACCGATCCACACAGATAAGGAGATAGAAACAACCATTGGACAGAGGCAGGGGACCTACAATCTCCAGGTGAACGTGGCTGAACCTTGAACCAGGGTCTGGGAAGGTGCCAATGGGGGCCTTGTTGTGCCGCTGGATTTTACCCTGTTGACAGGCGATGCAAGCCCGTGTCCATGCCTTGAGGTCCTTGTGCATGCCAGGCCAGACGAAGCGGTCGTAAACCAGCTTGTCGGTTGCTCGACTCCCAGGGTCAGAAAGCGTCTGCAGGGAGGAGAAAACTTTACAACGGAGGGATGGTGGCAAAAATGGACAATGGGATGGGGTGGATACGTCGCATAGAATAGTGCCGTTGCCAGTTGTCCGTGGTAGTTCCTGAAGTTGGAGTCCGGAAACATCTTCATCACAGGGTGGACCGACAGGGCTTTGTTCAGCGGAAATCTCAGCGAATTTTATCCCGGGTGAAAGCTGAATATGACCAATAGAGGGCCTGGAGAGTGCGTCAACCACCTTATTCCGTAACCCGTCAATATGGCGGATGTCTGAAGTGAACTGCGAAATGTAGTCCAGGTGACGGATCTCCCTGGGGCTTAGCTTGTCATAGTGGGAATGCATTGCAAACGTGAGTGGCCTATGATCTGTGAAAATTGTGAACTTACGACCTTCGAGTAAATGCCGGAAGTGCCTTACGGCAAGATAAGCAGTGAGAAGTTCACGTCCGAATGTGCTATAGCGGGTTTCGGCCTCGGATAGTTTCATGGAGAAGAAAGCCAAAGGCACAATAGAATCTGGCAGACTTTGTCAAAGAACCGCGCCAACAGCATCATTGGAGGCATCGACCATCAGATATATGGATGCATCAGCATGAAAGAGAGTCAGGAGGGCGGCATCAGCCAGAAGGGCTTTTAACTGCTCAAATGACCTGAGTGCTGCTGGTGTAAGTTCAAAGGTGCGCTTAGAACCCGAGAGGAGACTGGTTAGAGGTGGGATGGTATCGGCACAGTTCGGGAGAAACCGGCGATAAAAGTTCACCATACCAAGAAACAGTTGCAACTGATGCTTCGACGTAGGGGGTAGAAAGTCCCGAATGGCGGCAACCTTTGAGAGAAGAGGCTGAATGCCGTGGGAGTCGACCAGATTACCTAGAAATTCTAGGGAGTGCACACCGAAGACGCACTTGGACGGGTTGAGAACAACGCCGAATTGTTGAAGGCGGTCAAACACCATTGCCAGATGCTGCATGTGTTCTTCGGTGGTGTAGCTAGCTACCAGAAGGTCGTCGGTATAGGCCTTGACAAATGGTAGGCCGCGAAGCACTCTGTATACAAATCTTTAGAATGTCTTGGAGGCGTTAGGAAGTCCAAACGGCATGCGCAGGAAGTCAAAGCGACCAAAGGGGGTGGTAACGGACGTCTTCGAAACGTCCTCTGTGGCTATGGGAATTTGGTGGAAAGCACGGACCAGATCGATCTTTGCGAATACAAACTTGCCGAATAGGGCACCGGAAAAATCCTGAAGATGTGGGACAGGGTATCGGTCCGGGACAGTAATGTTGTTCTGGGCCTAGTAATCACGGCGGGGGCGCCAGTCACCAGTGGCGGCACTTGAAACCATGTGGACGGATGAGGCCCATGGGCTTTCACACTGATGGATGATGCCCATTTGAAGCATGTGCCCGAATTCGGCCTTGGCGGCAGCAAGACGTGTAGGCGCGAGATGGCGGGGGAGAGAAAACACAGGAGGGCCGGTGGTCCGAATGTGGTGAACAACGTCATGTGGTGAAATAGAAACTTTGAAGTTGGGACGAGTGAGGCCGGGGTATTTGACGAGGAAATGCCGAAATGGATTCTCGGGTTCAGGGTCCAAGACGGCAAGATGACGAGAGGCGTCGGAGGAAGAGATACCCCGGACAGTGAGGTTGGTGGTCTTGTCGTGTAGACGTGACTGACGGCAGTCAACCAGAAGATCGAAAGCGGCGAGGAAATCTGCACCGAGAATTGCACAGGGGATGTCAGCAACGACGAAGACCCAAGGGAAGAGACGCCGGACACCGATGTCCAGAGAGAGGGAGCAGGTGCCAAATGTGGTAATCGGCGATGTGTTGACGGCCTGTAGGAAAAGACCGGGATTGGGACACCGACGATCAGCTGGTGTGGTTGGAATGACACTAAGCTGGGCACCAGTGTCAACCAAGAAACGTATGTCACTCCTGGTTTCGCGGACATAAAATGTGTGACCAGGGTAAGAGCCGTCGCGAAGATTGGCTGCACAGACCTTCGGGTTGACCGTTTTTACCCGTTTGCTCTGCTTGGAGGTGAAGGAGCAGGGGGAGATGCAGCGACGGGCTTTAACACCAAAGGTGATGTGGTACCAGCAGATGGCAGCTGCGTTTGGACAGGCTGAATGTGAAGACTGGAGATGCGAGGTGGACGGCTTCGGTTGGCTGCGAGATGAGGGAGAATCTGCCTGGCGTCTGGTGTGAAGTTATATCATTGGCCAGCTTGCTGAGCTCGATCTCCAACTGCGAAATGGGAGACGCAGGAGGAGATGAGGGAGTTGAGAGTGCGGCAATGGATGGCTTGGAAAAGCCTCGCATCTCCATAAGCCGATCAGCCATCTGAGTAAGTTGCGGTGCCAAAATATGCTGCACTTCCGGTGAAAAATTGTCCATGCTCAACACCTGACTTTATCGTAGATTAGGGAGAAGGAAGGTTGCTGCTCGCAAGGAGTCACCAATTGTCAAATGTTGTGTGGTCGACAAGATAAAGATTCCCAATCAAAAGTCAGGGAAGAGGTTTTGAGTTGGACAACGCTTACTGCCTGAGGAAGTGCGTACACAAGGGCTCTGTAGGCAGTGGCCGCGAGCGCGCTCCAAGCAAGTTGTTGTCTGTGTCCGCGCGTGTGTGCGCCCTCCGTTGTCTCCGCGTCCGCCAGCCAATCAGAGGGGGGACAGCGTTGATTAACCTGGAGCAATCGCGCGTCCCAGCAGCGTATCGACAAAGAGCGTGAGGCGGACAGGAAGGCAGCGTGACAAAGGCGGAGGGCAAGGAGACGCGAACTGCCACAACTCTTCGATGGCAATCCAATCATCTTGAACAATTCATTTTTTGGCATCTTTTGCGGAGTGAGTATTCATGCATTTCCTAGTTGTTCAACTTGTTACTTAGACTTTCAGAAGGCATAGAGCGTGAAGGTATGCTGATGACGGGCATTTTTGACTTCCTGGCATTCATTACTTATAATGTTCATGTAGGATACCCAACGGTGTTGCCTGACCATGACTCGCGAATCTGCCGACTACTTCTCAGTACAACCAAGATACTAAAGACAGCAAGAGTGTGATATGGGCCGTAATAGTAAATTTGGAAATTGGGATTTCATGCGAGATGTATCACCAGATGTCGCCAGCCAGGGAACTTGGAAAACCTTTGCGATAAACAGAGCACACGCGTTCACAAATTGCAAACCTGTTGGTTGAAATCTGTTTGCAAACTTGTAGAAAATAGCTGTGGAGTTTGGTTTAACTCGATTAGGAATGCAGAGTTTGTCTTTTTTTATATTTTATCGTATCAGGGTCTACCAAATGAATAATTTGTAAATTAAAAGTCGAATTCTGCAAATCTTTTTGAGGACTCTCGCACAACATTTGGAAGAGCAGTCGTCACCAAAATAAGTTAAAGTCTTTAATAGCGATGGTAAACTATTTGATCCCGTGTAAAAATACTTCTCGTCTGATGCCTTCCGCATAAAGTGTATATAATAGATGACTGCGGATGGGTACGCATAATATATTGGAATAAGCAGGCAACCACAATCCTCAAACTAATTTGTTTCTGATGTCGATAACGGGCATTTCAGCTTTTGGACATTCTTTAGTCATAATCGTCTGACGCTCCAAAAAACCCCATTGTGCGCCATGCTCACGCGTCTCCAAACTGACAGCTAGCTTAAACTGGCGCACAAAGGAGAGAAAAAGGGGTTTTTGAAGACAGTGCGCTTGACATTTGAATGATTTACAGAGATGCGAGTCAGAATATCGTAACTACAAATACTGCATTTACTTATGCGTTGGCGAGCCAAATTACCCAAGAGTCCACACGGCCGATGAAAGCCCGTAGGCAGTCACTCGACGGCGTGCGATGGGCGCGGAAGCCGATATTCTTGACGGGCAGTGAGGCGCCTAGCAACGGCATACTTCAACACCTGGACAGTCGAGCTCTGCCGCACACTGGAGCTGCCAACTCTTATTGGCATGTACTGGCCGAGCAACCACATCCTACAAATCTTGCAACCCCTGGGCAATTCATTACCGTTATCTGACGCTGCCTCTGATGATGGATTCGAGTGCGAATTCAAAACCCCAGGGTAATAAAGCACTTTTTCCAGCCACTTAATCTCCTTCTCCGAGACCAAAATATGTGCTGGGATTGTATGTGGTACGCAATCTGGCCACGGCTTTTACCAGATGAACGTTCAGTGGCAATTCACGAAGAGACCAAACCCCTACTTCACGTTTCCGTGTCTCCCTACAGATCTCCTAGAATAAATCCTTTCATTCTGGTGGTTGCATTTTAAGCAACTAACAGAGCTAGCGAGAAAATAGGAGAACAGCGTCAGTGGCACGAGATGGGCATCCTTACAAGCCGTATATTACCGCCCGCATGCCTTGACTGTGCGCTGATTCAACTGTATAATAACCAATGAAACCATTGACTCACAGAAAATTACCCATCCACGAACCAGCAAAATCTAGATTTCTGGTCTGCCGGTTACCTTTACAGACTGGTGACAACTAGACTAAGGTCGGGAATAACTAATCCTGAGCAGGTAGTTCCATAAACAGTGAAGCAACCACCACTTCTGGCGTTTCTCCATGTTCTATTTATTAGATCTTAATTATGAGTTAATGGTCAGAGAAGAATAAACGCTTGTAGACAAACAAGTCATTAACATGAAACTGTTTTTGGACCACGAGCGTTGTTTGCTTGCGTACAAGAATACGGTGTCCAACTATATAACCAAATATGCTGTTCTTGAAGTTGAAATGTTGATATGTGGATCAAAGAAGGCAAACATAGCTGCTCTTCCGTGCTGGAAAAAATCGTCAGTCTTTGTGTCGATAGGTCGAATAAGGTAGTAACAGGCAGTATAATATATATCAACAACTAGTAAGACAAGGGCACATCATTCAAAAATACCTTTCAGCCTACCAAAAAAATTTATTTCATAAAATTCCTAAATAGTATTGAAAAATTATGAAATAGGAAAGCAATATTACACGCAGTAATTGCATGTTTGGGTTATATTCGTGCGGTCTGTTGTAACGGTGATCATTTTAAAGATCAGATTTTCCAAAAACAACAACACATCAGGCCACTTAAAAAGCACGATTGGTGTAAAGGAAACTAATACGATCTCGTTTTTCGCAGCAAATGAAACGGAGATTCATGCTGCTGCGCTTCTACCTTGCACGGACTAAAAACGTATTTCATAAATCTTCGAAACATCTTATAGCGCCATTACAAAATAGCAGAGCAAATATTGCACACATTTGTTCCATGCTTGGGTTTTATTCGTGGGGTCTGTTGTGACGACGGTCTTTTTAAAAAGCGGATCTTCGAAAATCAACAGCTGAACTGCTAGTGAAAAAGCACCATTTTTGTAAATTAATCGACTACGAACTCGTTTGGCGCGCAAAACGAAACGGAGATTCATGCTGCTTCGCCTGTATATTGCACGCCAAAAGGACGCACTTGAACAAACTGTCGAATATAATCCACCCATTTTAAAATAGAGTTCTTCAACAAAAATGACTACGACAGCTGGCCTTTAAGTACACCATTCGTCATCGATGACGATCCGAATGCCCTTAATGTGCTTAAAATGAATGACTCATCTTCCATGATTATGGAGTGGTAAATTTGATTTCGAGAAACAAGCCTGTAGTAATTCGGAATTCGAGAGACGGATGGCCGTGCCTTTAGCTGTGACATACACAAAGCGACAGAAATCACAGCCTCAATTTCCATCTACCTATATTTTAAACTGCATTCACTACTTCATCGTTTAAAACATACTCTTGTACAGCTGTCCATGTCGGCCGTACTAAAAGCATATATCACATAGCATTAGATCGGATTTATTGAGCGAAAGGTAGGTGTGCGCCTTTGAACTATCTTTTGATTACAATAACGTCATTAAAGCAATGTGTCAGGCAAATGTCAAAGAAAATCGGGTAATAATTACGCACAACAAGCATTGGTTACTGGTATAAATAAGTGCCTGAATGTCGTCTGCTTCAATAACTGTACGACAACCAGTACGGAGAACTGAATGTACCCGTAGTATCAAAGGAAACCTATATGCTTCGGTCAGAATATAACCAAAAGTCATAAAAAGGATGCTACTTAACGTTACCTAATGTTACTTGTAACGTAAAACTCTGAGGGGCAGGTGGTAAAGGGAAGAAAATTTGTTATATTTTGATGCTATGCAGGTACATATCCCGGTACTGGCCAAGGTTCATCTATAATGTGTTAACGGATGAGGACATGACGATGTTTACAGACAGGGCATTCGCCGCCTTTCCCACTCTGTGGCTGAAGTACAAAATATTTTTTAAAAAACGAATCTGCGTATAAAATTTTGGTGTTCAAACTGGAAATGCAAACGAGCTCTCGTCTTAAATATTGGCCAAAACAACTCATTTGCAACAAATATGAGAGTGCAAAAGTAAAAACTTGCAATTAGTTAATCCAGTCTATTTCAATAGCTATGACAAATCAAATCTCTTATAACGTTAGCTGCGTGTCCATAATAAATTAATCGCAGATTACGGAGACATGCCATTTTGAGTCTACAAGCGTGGAACCAAGCCGGTGGCCTACAGTCCAATTGAGAAATTTTGCGACTTGTGCTTATCACCGGAGAGACGCATACAGTTTTTCGATATTTACAGTTGACTTTCAGCACTTGTTTTACAGTGCCATCAATCTGACTTTGATGAACCAAGTGTATTGGCAGAAGAAGAAAATTAAGAATGTATATTCCTACAGGTTACTAGTAAATACTTTTACCTTTAGATTCGATGTTTATGCAGTCTACGGATGGTGTGCGTTATTTTGAAGGGGACCGTCAATTATTCATAACGGAAATGGAAGTAGTGACCATCCAGTCTGAAAATGTTGATGGCATTATGACGTCAAATTGTTGTATTTATAGTGTTCAGTGAATTGTAAATATGTATACGCTTAAACTTTTCTTACAAACATCAAATAAATCTAGCTTTGAAAATATTTTACGTTCCATGGCGTCAAAGCATCACTAGTTATTGACATTATGAAAGTCAGTTGGTGATAAAAAGCCACTTTTCGTGTTTCTCTCAAATCATCGCTGTTAGAAAAGGGAAACAGGGAAATTTTGCGGTGATTGTTTTGGCATTCGCCAATTCCGAAATACAGAATACACATTCTACTTGGCGATTAGATTTCGTGTGCGTAGTAACTCTTCGATGGCAATCCTATCATCTTCACAAATTCGTTTTTCAGCATCTTTTGCGGAGTGAATATTCAAGCATTTCCTATTTGCTCAACTTGTTACATAGTCTTTCAGAGGGCATAGAGCGTGAAGGTATTCTGATGATGGGCATTTTGGACTTACTGACATTCATTAGTTATAATGTTCATGTTGGATACCAAACGGTGTTGCCTAAACATGGCTCGCGAATCTGCCGACTACTTCTCAGTACAAGCAAGCTGCTAAATACAGCAAGCGTGTCTCTGACCAGGGGCCGGCGGACTCGATCACATCGAGGGTAGACGTGAGAGAACTTTGCCAAGTCCTTCTCGAGATAAGACGGAGAGGCGGAGGACCTGGGAGGAACCGGAGAAAGTGTCCGCGTAAACTGCCGGAGGCGAAGCAGGAGGTTGGTGGGATCCTCAACGGCACCTTGCGGGGTTGGCGAAATCATCTCACCGGGGAGTCGGACGGTGGCACCGAACACCAGTTCAGCTGCGGAACAGTCAAGGTCCGGCTTGAGAGCGGAGCGGATGCCCAAGAGGACCAGGGAAAGTTGATCCTTCCAATTCTCCGGATCGTCTGTGGCGCGTAGGGATGCCTTCAACTGGCGGTGAACCTGCTCGACCATCCCGTTGGCTGCCGGATGATAGGCTGTAGTGCGGATGCGAGTACAGCCTAAAAAGGAGAGTAAAGACCGGAAGAGGTTAGACTTAAAGTGGGCACCACGGTCAGTCGTGATTGTGGAAGGTGCACCAAAGATAGCAACCCAACGACTGAGAAATCCTTGACCACCGTTGGTGCAGCAATGTCAGGCAGGGGAATTGCTACAGGCCACCGAGTGAACCGATCCACACAGGTGAGGAGATAGGAACAACCATTGGACAGAGGCAGGGGACATACAATCTCCAGATGAACGTGGCTGAACCTTGAACCAGGGCCCGGGAAGGTGCCAATGGGGGCCTTGTTGTGCTGCTGGGTCTTACTCTGTTGACAGGCGATGCAAGCCTGTGTCCATGCCTTGAGGTCCTTGTGCATGCCAGGCCAGACGAAGCGGTCGTAAACCAGCTTGTCGGTTGCTCGACTCCCAGGGTCAGAGAGAGTGCGCAGGGAGGAGAAAAATTTACGGCGGAGGGATGGTGGCACAAATGGACAATGGGATGGGGTGGATACGTCGCATAGAATATTGCCGTTGCCAGTTGTCAGTGGTAGTTCCTGAAGTTGGAGTCCGGAAACATCTTCATCACAGGGTGGACCGACAGGGCGTTGTTCACCGGCCATCTCAGTGAGGTCTATCCCGGGTGAAAGCTGAAGATGAGCAATAGAGGGCCTGGAGAGTGCGCCAGCCACCTCATTCCGTACCCGTCAATATGGCGGATGTCTGAAGTGAACTGCGAAATGTAGTCCAGGTGACGGATCTCCCTGGGGCTTAGCTTGTCATAGTGGGAATGCATTGCAAAAGTGAGTGGCCTATGATCTGTGAATATTGTGAACTTACGACCTTCGAGTAAATGCCGGACGTGCCTTACGGCAAGATAAGCAGCGAGAAGTTCACGTCCGAATGTGCTATAGCGGGTTTCGGCCTCGGATAGTTTCCTGGAGAAGAAAGCCAAAGGCACAATAGAATCTGGCAGACTTTGTCAAAGAACTGCGCTAACAGCAACATTGGAGGCACCGGCCATCAGAGATATGGGTGCATCAGCATGAAAGTGAGTCACGAAGGGTGGCATCAGCCAGAAGGGCTTTTACCTGCTCAAATGACCTGAGTGCTGCTGGTGTAAGTTCAAAGGTGCGCTTAGAACCTGAGAGGAGACTGGTTAGAGGTGGGATGGTATCGGCACAGTTCGGGAGAAACCGGCGATAAAAGTTCACCATACCAAGAAACCGTTGCAACTGATGCTTCGAGGTAGGGGGTGGAAAGTCCCGAATGGCGGCAACCTTTGAGAGAAGAGGCCGAATGCCGTGGGAGTCGACCAGATGACCTAGAAATTCTAAGGAGGGCACACCGAAGACGCACTTGGACGGGTTGAGAACAACGCCGAATTGTTGAAGGCGGTCAAACACCATTGCCAGATGCTGCATGTGTTCTTCGGTGGTGTAGCTGGCTACCAGAAGGTCGTCGGTATAGGCGTAGACAAATGGTAGGCCGCGAAGCACTCTGTATACAAATCTTTAGAAGGTCTTGGAGGCGTTACGAAGTCCAAACGGCATGCGCAGGAAGTCAAAGAGACCAAAGGGGGTGGTAACGGACGTCGTCGAAACGTCCTCTGAGGCTATGGGAATTTGGTGGAAAGCACGGACCAAATCGATCTTTGCTAATACAAACTTGCCGAATAGGGCAAGGGTAGAGGTAGAGGTCCGGGACAGTAATGTTGTTCAGGGCCTAGTAATCACGGCGGGGGCGCCAGTCACCAGTGGCGGCACTTGAAACCATGTGGACGGATGAGGCCCATGGGCTTTCACACTGATGGATGATGCCCATTTGAAGCATGTGCCCGAATTCGGCCTTGGCGGCAGCAAGACGTGTAGGCGCGAGATGGCGGGGAGAGAAAACACGGGAGGGCCGGTGGTCCGAATGTGATGAACAACGTCATGTGGTGAAATAGAAACTTTGAAGTTGGGAAGAGTGAGGCCGGGGTATTTGGCGAGGAGTTGCCGAAATTGATTCTCGGGTTCAGGGTCCAAGACGGCAAGATGACGAGAGGCGTCGAAGGAAGAGATACCCCGGACAGTGGGGATGATGGTCTTGTCGTGTAGACGTGACTGACGGCAGTCGACCAGAAGATCGAAAGCGTCGAGGAAATCTGCACCGAGAATTGCACAGGGGATGTCAGCAACGACGAAGACCCAAGGGAAGAGACGCCGGACACCGATGTCCAGAGAGAGGGAGCAGGTACCAAATGTGGTAATCGGCGATGTGTTGACGGCCTGTAGGAAAAGACCGGGATTGGGACACCGACGATCAGCTGGTGTGGTTGGAATGACACTAAGCTGGGCACCAGTGTCAACCAAGAAACGTCTGTCACTCCTGGTGTCGCGGACGTAAAATGTGTGAACAGGGTTAGAGACATCGGGAAGATTGCCTGCAGAGACTTTCGGGTTGACGGTTTTTACCCGTTTGCTCTGCTTGGAGGTGAAGGAGCAGGAGGAGATGCAGCGACGGGCTTTAACACCAAAGGTGATGTGGTACCAGGAGATGACAGCTGCGTTTAAACGGGCTGTATGTGAAGACAGGATATGAGGGGTGGACGGCTTCGGTTGGCTGCAAGATGAGGGAGAAACTGCCTGCGTCTGGTGTGAAACTATATCATTGGCCAGCTTGCTGAGCTCGATCTCCAACTGCGAAATGGGAGGCACAGGATGAGATGAGGGAGTTGAGAGTGCTGCAATGGTTGGCTTGGAAAAACCTCGCATCTCCATAAGCCGATCAGCCATCTGAGTAAGTTGCGTGGCCGAAAGAATGCCGAAGGCGGGTGCCAAAATATGCTGCACTTCCGGTGAAAAATTGTCCATGATCAACACCTGACTTTGTCGTTGATTAGGGAAAAGGAAGTTTGCTGTTCGCAAGGAGTCACCAATTGTCGGATGTAGTGTGGTCGACAAGATAAAGTTTCCCAATTAAAAGTCAGGGAAGACGGTTTAAGTTGGACAACCTTTACTGCCTGAGGAAGTGCGTACACAACGGCTCTGTAGGCGGTGGCCATGAGCGCGCTCCAAGCAAGCTGTTGTCTGTGTCCGCGCGTGTGTGCGCCCTCCGGTGTCTCCGCGTCCGCCAGCCAATCAGAGCGGGGACAGCGTCGATTAGCCTGGAGCAATCGCGCGTCCCATCAGCGTATCGACAGAGAGCGTGAGGCGGACAGGAACCCGCGTGACACACGGCCGATGAAACCCCGTAGGCAGTCAGTCGGCGGTGTGCGATGAGCGCGGAAGCCGATATTCTCGACCGGCACTGAGGCGCCTAGCAACGGCATACTTCAACCCCTGGACAGTCGAGCTCTGATGCACACTGCAGCTGCCAACTCTTATAGGCATCCACATCTTACAAATCTTGCAACCGCTGGGGAATTCATTACCGTTATCTGACGCTGCCTCTGATGATGGATTCAAGTGAGATTTCAAAACCCCAGGGCAATAAAGCACCTTTTCCAGCCACTCAATCTCCTTCTCCGAGACCGACATTTGTGCTGGGATTGTACGTGGTACGCAATCTGACCACGGCTTTTACCAGAAGAACGTTCAATGACAATTCACGAAGAGACCAAACCCCTCCTTCAAGTTTCCGTGTCTCCCTACAGATCTCCTAAAATAAATCCGTTCATTCTGGTGGTTGCATTTTACGCAACTAACAGGGCTAGGGAGAAAATAGGAGAACAGCGTTTGTGATACGAGATCGGCATCGCTACAAGCCGTATATTACCGCTGGCATGCCTTGACAGTGCGCTGATTCAACTGTATAATAACCAATGAAACCATTGACTCACAGAAAATTTCCCATCCACGAACCAGCAAAATCTAGATTTCTGGTCCGCCGGTTAGCTTTACAGACTGGTGACAACTAGACTAAGGTCGGGAATAACTAATCCTGAGCAGGTAGTTCCATGAACAGTGAAGCAACCACCACTCCTGGCGTTTCTCGATGTTCTATTTATTAATTATGAGTTAATGGTCAGAGAAGAAGAAACACTTGTAGACAAACGAGTCATTAACATGAAACTGTTTTTGGACCCCGAGCGTTGTTTACTTGCGTACAAGAATACGGTGTCCAACTATATAACCAAATATGCTGTTTTTGAAGTTGAAATGTTGATATGTGGATAAAAGAAGGCAAACATAGCTGCTCTTCCGTGCTGGAAAAAAATCGTCAGCCTTTGTGTCGATAGGTCGAATAAGGTAGTAACAGGCAGTATAATATATATCAACAACTAGTAAGACCAGGTCACACCATCCAAAGATACCTTTATCCTACCCAAAAAAATTATTTCATAAAACTCCTAAAAAGTATTGCAAAATTATAAAATAGCTAAGCAATATTACACGCAGTAATTCCATGTTTGGGTTATATTCGTGGGGTCTGCTGTGACGGCGATCTTTTTAAAGATCAGATTTTCCAAAAACAACAACACAGTAGGCCAGTTAAAAAGCACGATTGGTGTAAAGGAAACTAATACGATCTCGTTTGACGCAGTAAATGTGTTGGGAGCGCCTACATTCTCAAGAACAAGAGCCAGCCAATCACGGGAGGCCACGTGCGTTTTCTCCACTGCGCTGTCATCTTACTCGTGGCGCCTCTCCATTGGCTTTTCCTCGCGGGCCTGATCGATCAGCATATTCGAATTATCGACCGGCTCGTCTCGAATGTTCTTCCCGAAGGGCATTGGGCCGAACGCCGGCGAAGCACCGTAAGGCGTTATAAATACGCGTTACTTTCAGTTCATTTCGGCTTGCAATTTCCTAATACACAGTTTCGTGGCCGGTCGCGTTCTCCTTCTCTGCCGCGTTGGTATTGGGGACAAGGGTCGAGTGCGCATACGCTCCACAGGATTTCACGTACCAGGCGGGTCATAACAAATTTGGCGACGCAGTTTTTCAATTACAATGGCTGACGAGTATGCAGACTTGAAGCAGATGTTGCAGCAGCAGCTGAAGCTGATGGAGGCTCTGACCGTCAAGCTATCCAATTCATCCATGGGCCAATCAAGCGCGGCTGGTGGTTCACTATCTGTTGACCACATTGCCGACAGCATCACTGAATTCCTGTATGACCCGCAGGCCCATATCACCTTTGAGTCCTGGTACAAACGATACGAGGACTTGTTCTCTGTCGATCTGGCTGCCCAGGACGATGCATGGAAGGTTCGACTCCTACTTCGCAAACTGGGTCCGGCTGAACACGAGCGTTATGCAAACTTCATCCTCCCCAAGAATCCCCGAGAGGTCGCTTTCAAGGACACGGTTGAGACGTTGTCGCAGATTTTTGGTGATCAATCCTCCCTTTTCAACACTCGATTTTAGTGCTTGCAGCTGTGCAAACGCGATTCCGATGAGTTCATCACGTATGCAGGCATTGTCAATCGTGAGTGTGGGCGTTTCCAACTCGGTTCTCTCACTGAAGACCAGTTTAAATGCCTTATATTTATCTGCGGCCTCCAGTTCCCCAAGGATGCTGATATCCGGACACGTCTCTTGTCCAAAGTGCAGCAGAACAACTCTACCACACTCCAAGAGCTGGCAGCAGAGTGCCAAACGCTGATCAACCTCAAGCACGATTCTGCAATGATTCAGAATCCTTCCTCATCTTTCTCAGTCCATACGGTCACATCGACCAAATTGCATCCTGTTACACGGCCCAAGCAAGTGTCCAAGTCGAGATCTCCGCCATATCCTTGTCGGCACTGTGGGGCGTGGCATTTCCACCGGGATTGCACTTTCCGCCAGCATCGCTGCCAAAGCTGTAATCAGGTGGGACACCGTGATGGGTTCTGCAAATCAGTACCAGCTTCTGAAGGCAGGCCAGCTCCCGCCACTCCTAATTCCAGGCACCGGTTCCGGCCAAAACGCATGCCCAAACCCCAGTCCGTTGGTAATTCTCTGAGTCTCTTGACCGCTTTCCAGCTCAATGCGTCTGGTCGTAGAACATTTGTTGATGTCTTGCTCAATGGCCATGCAGTTCGTCTACAGTTGGACACTGCCTCAGATATCACCATCATCTCTGAGAGACTCTGGCAGTCCCTTGACAGTCCCACGATGCAGCCGACTTCCCAGTCCGCCACAAGCGCGTGCGGTGGTCTCGTACAGCTATTTGGGCAGCTGCAATGCTGTGTGTCGTTCCGCGGTACCAGCATCACTGTGATCTACTACATCACCAAGTCTGATCTAAACCTACTTGGTCTCGACTGGATTGAACAACTTGATTTGGCCGATATGCCGCTCCGCGTTGTTTGCAGTCAGGTGCAGATTCGCGCTGTGCTTGCAGACCAAACCAAGGACATTCTCCAACTCTTTGCTCTAGTGTTCCAAGACGGCCTGGATCGTTGCACATACACTCAAGCCGTGCTACATCTGTCTCCTGGAAGTCAACCAGTCTTCCGTCCAAAGCGACCAGTCCCATATGCAGCTCTACCACTTGTCGAGGCTGAACTGAAACGTCTAGAGGAACTGGGAGTTCTGGTTCCTGTATCCTACTCCGCCTGGGACGCTCCAATCGTTGCGGTTAAGAAGCCCAATGGCTCGGTCCGCATTTGTGCTGACTTCTCCACCGGTCTCAATGCCGCGCTGACGCCGAACTGCTATCCATTACCGGTTCCGGCTGATCTTTTCACCCTGCTGAATGGTGGCACTTGCTTTGCCAAGTTGGACCTCGCTGACGCGCATCTGCAGATCGAGGTCGCCCCAGAGTCGCGCGAATTGTTGACCATCAACACCCACCGCGGTCTGTTCCAATACACCAGGCTGCCCTTTGGTGTCAAGACCGCCCCGGCCCTATTTCAACAAACGATGAACGCAATGCTCTCCGGCATCCCTGGCACAGCTGGGTACCTGGACGACATCATCATCGTGGGTCGCTCCCCTGCCGAGCTGCAAGAACGAGTGTGCGCAGTACTCGAACGCGTGCAGGAATATGGCTTTCGCCAACGGGCCGAGAAGTGCCAATTCTTCCTCGACTCCATCAAGTACCTTGGATTCGTTTTTGACGCCAATGGTCGTCATCCAGATCCTGAAAACATTCGGGCCATCCAACGGATGCCTGCTCCCAAGAATGTATCGCAACTTCGTTCGTTCCTTGACCTGATCAGCTACTATAGCGCCTTCCTACCATCGCTGCATGACGTACGGGCCCGCTCAACCGTCTGTTGCAGAAGGATGCTCCTTGGTGCTGGTCCCCCGACTGTGAAACGGCCTTCGCCCAGCTAAAGTCGATGCTGAGATCAGATCTGTTGCTCAGGCACTACGACCCGACGCTGCCGATCGTTGTTGCTGCAGATGCTTCCAACCACGGAGTTGGTGCCGTCATCTCACATACTTTTCCTGATGGGTCTGAAAAGGCGATCATGCATGCATCTCGCACGCTAACCCCTGCGGAGAAGAACTATGGACAAATAGAGAAAGAAGCTCTAGCCCTCGTGTTTGCCGTCAAGAAAATTCACAAACTGTTGTACGGTCGCCACTTCACGTTTTTGACGGATCACAAACCATTGCTGTCAATCTTCGGTTCGAAGAAGGGCATTCCCGTCTACTCAGCCAGCCGACTTCAGCGATGGGCAACCATCCTTCTTGGCTACGACTTCGACATTCGCTACTGTCGTACTACAGACTTTGGTCAGGCTGACGCCCTTTCTCGACTCATCAGCAATTAGCAGGAACCGGAGGAAGATACCGTGATTGCAGCTATTTCGATTGAGGACGGTGTGCGCCGTCAGCTATCAGACGCCATACGAGGTATCCCTGTCACTGCCGCGGACATCCGACGTGCTACTGAACAGGATCCTGTCCTCCGCCAGGCCATCACCTACGTG